ACAGAGCGGAGTTTAGGGCTGTTGTACATAGGGTTGCTATGAGTCGCAGGCGACTTGACGGCACATAACAACAACATGTTGTGTTGTTGTTATGTGCCATTGAGTTCCTTGTGACTCATAGCGACCCAATGTACAAGAGCCCTAAACACTGTTCTATCTTGTGCCAACTTCGCTGTCTCTGATACACTCATTCCCACGACCCCACCCCACACAATCACAGAATTGATCCATCTCATCAAGGATCTTCCTCTCCTGTGCCATCCCTCCACTCTCCCAAATATGATGTCCCTCTCCAAGTGTAAATTCTTACAATCATTGGCCTAGTGCGTGGAGTGTTTCACTGTTAATCCAAAGGCTTGCAGTTCAAATCCACCAGCTGCTCCACAAGAAAAAAGTGGGCAATCACTTTTGCAATTTACAAGCTCTGAAAATTCGCTGGAGGGTTGTCTATGAGCTGGTTCCAACTTGACAGAAATGAGCTGAGTTTTGAGTTTAAATAACCAAGACAATCATCAATTAATTGTAATATTGTTGTTAGATACCATCAAGTTGGCTTTGATTTATAGCATCTGATCCTGTACCAAACTCACAATTTCAGCTGTGCCCACTGGTGAGTCACAGTGTCAATCCATTTCATTAAGAGCTGTCTTCTCTAGGAATTGGAGGGACAATGTGGCTAAGTGCTCAGCTGCTAACGAAATGGTTGGTCCTTCTAATCTACCAGGCCTGCTACTCCTCAAAAGAAAGATGTGGCAGTCTAACTTCCACAAAGGCTTGGAAACCTGGTGGGACCGCTCCATTCTGTATTGTAGGATCCCAATGAAGCAGAATCAACTCATTGGCATTTGGTTCTAACCACAAATTTGCTAAGACGTAATTTTACTGGAAGAATTTCACAAAACAATACAAAGAAATGTCTTTTAATGTTTTTTTTTAATTCTATTAAAGAAATCTTGACTATGATTTCTAGTATTGATCTCTTGAGCCAACAGTGGGTTTCTGAGGCTGTAAATTGCATAGGACGAGACAGCCCATATTTGTTCAGAAGAGCTGCTGGTGGGTTCACACTGCCAGGGAGACACTTTAGGTTAGCCACATCAGTCCCTACAGACTACACAACCAGAGTGCCCTCATACACAACAGCTGAGACAAATT